CTTCGTCCTGAGTCGTTTTTTGACGGCCCCGAGGCCCGGTGAGGGCCCCCGGAGGCCGAAAATAGCGAAAAACCTCCCGTCGTGATTTTTTCACGACGCGCGGAGGTCTGGGAGGAGGGGGCGGAGGGCGCGGGCCGCTCCCAAGGCTACAGATGACGGGCCAGGCTCGCAGAGCGCGGGCCGGCGGAGAGCCGGGCGCCCGCGTCCGAGCCGAGAGAGGCGAGCGGGCGGGCGGCCCAGCCGCCGCGCGCGGGGCAGCCTCCACTGGGCCCACCTAACTAGCACGGCCAGGCGGGCGAGGCCGTGGCCGCACCGTGTGCGCACTGCCGCGCGGAGCACGCTGCAGGATGTGCTGCGAGGCCGCAAAGGGCTGCTATCTGGACGCCCGAAATGGGTACTGAAAGGATGGGTACAATGCCCAGCAGCAGTTCCTGTTCATTTTGAACAGGGCTCGCTGTCCACGCCGCCGCGGCCTGTGTCCATTCGAGACAGAAGGCCGCCGGCCCAACAGCGGCCGCTGTTGGTTTGGGACAACATTTGTTGTTGGGCATTGTACCCATTCTTCCCGTTTCCATTTCGGGCGTCCAAATGCTGGGGAACCCCAAGAACTAGAGCCTCGGGGAGCTGCTGACCCGGGGCATAGCCAGACCCGGGGGTCGGTCAGGCCTTCCAAGATCCCGCAGGATCCTGCACCCAAGCCGCCCTGGTCAATGCGACCCTGGCTCTGCCGGATCCTGCGAGATCCAGCGAGCTGACCGAACCCCGTTTGCACTGACCCCTCCGGCAAGTTCACTTTCATGGACGGGGGGGCTGAACCTGAAGCAAGCCGCAAACGACTTGCTTGCACGTGCGGGGATCACGACACAAGGCACTTGCTCGCCAGTATTCGCCTGAAGAGGTGCGAGGGGGGGGGGGAGGGGGGCAAACGCCATGCAAGTAAACTTGCCGGAGTCTAGGACAAATCGGGCTCCTACCGATCCTGCTAAGTACACCCCGGACCTCTCCTGGGATGCGTTGATCCAAACTACCTCTCCTGGGATGCGTTCGAGCCAAACTTTCGAGGCGGCGAATCCAGCGGTGGCGACGAAGGCCGCCCAAAAAAAGGCCCAAGGAGGGGAGAACGAGGGAAGGGTAGCGACATAGGTGCCTTTTCCTCCGAGCCGCGTGAGGGATGGAGGAGGGAGGAGGGGGGATCCTTGAAACTGGCGTTCAGTCGGGCCCGTCTCTCTCTGCAGGAGGAGTATTCGAAAATAGCCAAGAAATAATACGGGGACTATTTTTTCAATATTCGTTGACCATTCGGGAGTTTGTTTGGAATCTTCTTTGTTTTGTTCGTCGAGAATCCCCTGTAGGGGGACAGGCCCGACCTAAAACTGGCGCCCTCGTGCCTGGGCGGTGCCGTGCCGCGGTGAGTGCGGCCGAGGCGCGGCGGCGCGCGGAGGGCGCCGGGCGGGGAGGACAGCGGAGAGCCCCGGCGGGCCCAAGACTGCAGCGACGCGTCGGCCGCAGGAGGCCCAGATGAGTAGGCCGACCCTGCCAGATCAGGGGAACTCCGGATTCCATAAGAACGTCGGGGGGGTCACATTTGGGGGGGCGGTCTGATTGGAGCTGTCTTGGAGGGTTCGGGGGGGTCTGGGCAAGGTGCCGCAGTGCCGCCCCTTCATGGATGGTCTGGGGGGGGCTAAAGCTTCTCGTCTGGGAGGGTTGTGACCCCCTCCCTTTTGTTACGGAATCTGGAGTGCCCTCGTGTCCTGCGCCTTGCGACCCATGCCTCCTGCACTTCTGTGGCAACGTGGCCCCTGGAAGGGTCGTCTGTCCTCTCGCGTGTCCTGCCCAATCGAGGCCGACTGCAGGCGATCGAAGGGAATCGGTTCGGCGGAAGCCGGCGGCCGAGGCGGGAGACACCGAATGGGCGGACATCGGCGGGCTGACAAGGCCTCCCTAGCGAGCTCGGAGCCCAGATCGGACTCCGAAGCCGGATCGAATCAGAATCGGAAGCCGTCAGGATCGAATCGACTCGAATCGGAGGGGTCGAAATGAGCGGCGACTCTGTAAGGTGTGGTTTGCAGAGGGTGTGGCTTGCAACAGGAGCCCTAGGGGGCACCCTGGGGGGCAGGCGCGGACCTCGACAGATTCCTCCGCCGCGCCCCGAGGAGGTCCGACGAGAACAGTGTCGTGCCCCCCAGGCCCCAACAGCGCCTATCGCAAACCATACCCCGGCGTAACCACACACCCTTTGTAGGATACCGCTACTCCCCGGACCTCTCCCAGCTTGCGTTCTGACTAGAATCTCGAGGCGAATCCAACTGTGGCGAAGAGGGCCTCCCAAGAGCTCCCAAAAAAGAATGGAAAACGAGGGAGAGATGCCGGTACGGGAACGTTTCCCAGACCCCCGACGTCTTGACTGTTTCATGGCGTGACCCCCAAAGTCTGGACCCCTTCCCAGGGACCAGTTTTTGATCCCGAGTCGTATTTTGACGCTCCCGAGGCCCAGCGAGGGCCGCCAGAGGCCGAAAACAACGAACAATCTCCCGTAGTGTTTTTTTCACAACGCGAGGAGGTCTGGGTTGTGCGCGCCGCCAGTCCCTGCACCCCTTCCCCAGGACCGGACTTTCATCCTGGGTCGTCTTTGGACGGTCCCCAGGGCCCTAGCGAGTGGCCCCAGAAGCCCAAAATCGTGAACAACCTCCTGTCGTGAGGTTCTCATGATTCTCGAGGGGGGCTTCCTCCCGTCGGTCGGTCGGAAGGCGTGGGTCGGAACATTTTGCGCTGGCGATGAGAGGCTTAAACGGGGATGCCCTTAGAGCGAACTGTGCCATCATACAAGAGGAAGAGCGCTCGGCGTGGGTAGAAGCAGGAAGTAGTACGTCAGGTTCCTGTCCTCCCGACTTCGATCGGCGCCGGTTCCTGACGCTGCGGGGATCGTTCAACCTGGAACGATCGGCCGTTTCCGAAACGCCCACCTCGTTCCTGACCACCTACCAGGCCACCCCAACCCAACCCGAAGACCCGAATTTCGGGTTGGGGGGGGTATGGGCTCCATATGAGCTTTTTCGATGTTCCCGGACCCCCCCCCCACTAGAAATCGAGGGTAAATCTGAGCTTTCGGGTTGGGTTGGGGTGGTTTGGTGGGTGGTGAGTTCCGCATCGGACGATTCTGGGTCGCCCGCGGCGTCCAACCCTGGAACGCCGCCGCCGGGGTCGCCTCCGGTCGACACGGCGCGGACCTGCCGCAGGAAGGCGCTGGGCGGAGGTGGCGTCTCCGCCCGCCCCCCAGAGGAGCAAGGGCGGAGGGAGAGCGGTGGTTGACCGAGGCAGGGAGGCGTCTAGAGCAGATTGGAAGCGGGGGGGTCCCCAAGAGAGCAGGGCGGAGGGAGAGCGCTGGTTGATCGAGGCAGGGAGGCGTCGAAAGCGAATCGGACGCGGGGGGTCCACGAATATACGTGCTCTCGACCAGGGGCCGACCGTCCCAGCACGGGCCCACCGCGGCACGGTCTTAGAGCCCAGCACGTTCGAAGAACATCCAATGCTGTAGAAACCCAGACCCCCTCGGGTCATGAAGAAATCACGACGGGAGGCTTTTCGCTACTTTCGGCCTCCGGGGGCCCTTCCCGGGCCTCGGGAGCGTCAAAAAACGACCCAGGATGAAAAACTGGTCCCGCGGAAGGGGTCCAGACCTCTGGGGGTCGACGTTGTGAGCCCAATGTGCTAAAACAGAACAGTCTCAGCCAGAAACGTTCTAAGAACACTCCGGGCGGACCACACAACGGCTCTGAGAGCATCCTCTGGTCGGCCTACAGGCAAGCCAAGACGCTTCACCACCCCAAACCCCCGACGTCGTGATTTTTGCACAACGTCGATCCCCAGAAGTCCGTGACCAACCAAAGGGGAGGAGCAAACCAGCGGGAGATGCAGCCTGAGAACGTCTAGACCTCACTCTCTGAAGAAAAGATAGGTTCCCAGACCTCCGACGTCGTGATTTTTTCATGCTGTGCCCCCCCATAAGTCTGGACCCCTGCCCTGGGACCGGTTCTTCATCCTGCGTCGTTCCTTGACGGCCCCGAGGCCCTGGAAGGGCCCCCCCAAGAGGCCGAAAATAATAGAAAACCTCCAGCCGTGATTGTTGTCACAGCGCGAGGGGGTCTGGGACTGCTCGATACCCAGACCCCCGACGTCATGACTTTCTCATTGCGTCGACCCCTGGAGGTCTCGACCCGTTCCGCTGGACCGGTTTTTCATCCTGCGTCTTCTTTTGACGGTCCCGAGGGTCGGGAAGGCCCCGGGAGGCCGAAAATCAGAAAAACCCTCCCGTCGTGATTCTTTGTTCACAGCGCGAGCCCTGAGATCCGATGTGTCGTGATTTTGTCGATACGGGGTCCCCAGAAGTCTGGACCCTTTTCCCAGGACCGGTTTTTCATCCTGAGTCTTTTTTTGACAGCCCCGAGCCCCTGGCGAGGGCCCCATAGGGGTCGAACTTTGCTGCGAAAAACCTCCGTCTTGATTTGTTTCAAGACGCTGGATCTCTGGGAGGGGCGGTCTGGACACTTCTGAAAGCGACCGATGGGCAGCATAGTCTTACGTCGGGCATGCCCTCCTACAGGCGAATTTTGCACGAAAAATGAAAGACTATATGAACGATCCCCCAGATTGCCAAACAAAAATGAGAGAAATCATCGCCTGACTCACCTGTTGACTGCTGCTGAATATTCGGCCTGTAGAGGGGCATGCCCGACCTAAGCATAGCCGACGCGAGCCGCTCGAGGGGCGCGCGCCCGGTCGGCGGGTAGGAGGCCTGGAAATGGGCACCGACACCAACAGAGGGCGTTGCCTCCACAGGGGGAAGATGATCCTGGATTTCGGTGTTGGTGGTAATATTTCGGCTACCTTGGCAGCCAGAATATCACCGCCATCACCGGGATCGGGATCGTCTTCCCCAGGTGGAAGCAAACCGCCGATCTTGGTGTTGGTGTCAATCTCTGGGCCTGCGAGCGGGGGCTCTCCCAGGAGCACCAGGAGGCCGTCCGCCGCCCCCGCGTACAGCAGCAGGGTCGCCGCGTGCAGCCCGGCGTGCCGGCGCGTGCACTCCTCGTGGAGGGGCAGGGGCCCCAGAGAGCCGACGTCGTGGGAAAAAAAACAACGTCGTGGAGAGAGCAAGTCGTCGCGGGAGAAAAGAGCGTCGTGGAGAAAGCAACGTCGTGGAGAAACAACGTCGAGGTGCACTCCTCGAGAGGTGCAATCCAACGTCGTGGAAAAAACACCCCTGAGATCCGACGCTCGAACAAATTGGAGCAAGCGTGTTTTTCTATCATGTTTTTAATATAAAAAAGCCTCCAGGGGCCCTTGGCGGGCCTCGGGAGCGTCAAAAAAAACAGCTCGGGGCAAAAAACAGGTCCCGGGGAGAAGGTCTGGACTTCTGGGGCCCGCGCATCGACGAAAAAAACATTGGAGCAGCCGGAGGTCTGGGACGGAGGTTTTGTCGCAGAATTCGTGCCGTATGCCTTGCAAGACGCATCTAAAATCGTATGCATTTAGATGCGATCGCGCCCTGTTGCAGGCGAGAGACCCATCGTATCTACTTTTCTGCAACGACGCCAAAATAGATGTAATCTTTCGATGCGCGCCCCAGGCCTGCGCGGGATCGCCGCCGTATTTAAACGTATCGACTGGTTCAAGCAGATCTTCAACATTGGGACCGAAGATATATATATATATATAGTACCCGGAAAGCATAGCTACACGTCTCTATGTTTACAAGAATGCCAGTGCCGCGCCATATCTACTCGTATCTAATATTGTCAGAACGGATATTTTTGGCTGTGCTCTCGGAGCGAACAAGATCCATGATCTTGGTCGAAGCGATGAGCAATGGGATGGGGATACTGGGAAGCCGTAGCAATGAGGAGTGAGGAGACGAGCGACGACGACAAAAACGACGAATATGATGGATAACAACGACAAAACGAGATTTAGGAGAGAAGTGGGTAGTAACAGGGAACCGTAGGAGGGGGAGAGCACAGAGGAGGAGGAGGAGGAGGAGGAGGAGGAGGAGGCGGAGGACGAGGACGAGGAAGATGCGTCAAATCGACAATGAAGGGGGTGGTGCGGAGTGCGAGCGAGGAGGTTTTAGGACTGGCGGGAAGGTTGACGACGACGATGCGTTGAGGCAGGCGGAAAGGGGCCCAGGAGATGGACAAAGGAAGAAGGAGAGGAACTACGATGCGGAGGACGAGGACAATGAGTAAGAAGCTCCTGACTGTCATGTGCATTGTCTTCTCTGTTCGAGGTCATTGAGCGGCTTAGGCATGGCAGTGGAGACATGGCGCCGTATCTATTCGTATATAATGTTGGTAGACATGTTTTCCCGCGATGGGCGCCATATTGAACCGTATCTAAACATATCTAAACATACTGATTCGTAAATTATCCCAGTGCGACCCTACCTAGGAGTTGGAACCCCTAGGAAAGCAGCATTAGTAGTAACAGTAACGCTGAGCTAAAGCTAAGCTAACGCTAAGCTAAAGCTAAGCTAAAGCTAAGCTAATGCTAAGCCACAGCTAAGCTAAAGTTAAGCTAAAGAAAAAGTTAAGCTAAAGCTAAGCTAAAGCTAAGCTAAAGCTAAGCTAAAGCTGAGCAACAGCTAAGCTAAAGCTAAGCTACAGCTAAGCTAAAGCTAAGCTAAAGCTAAGCTAACGCTAAGCTAAAGCTAAGCTACAGCTAAGCTAAAGCCAAGCTACAGCTAAGCTCAAGCTAAGCTAAAGCTAAGATGAAGCTAAGTTTAAGCTAAACTAAACGCTAAGCGAAAAGCTAAGCGAAACGCTAAGCTAAAGCTAAGCTACAGCTAAGCTAAAGCTAAGCTAAAGATAAGCTAAAGCTAAAGCTAAAGCTAAAGCTCCCAGGGGACTGGGGGGAACCGCTCCCAGGGGACCGGGGGAACCGCCCGGGGCGTGTAGCACTGCCCGGCCCCTTTAAGCTAAGAGAGTAAGAACCCTTCTAGGCAGAGCCTAGGTAGGGAATAAAACATGGCCCCGTATCTAACATTAGAAAGGACACATACCTCCCGCATCTTCAAAACAATCAAGACATCGTATCTACATGTATCTTTTCCTGAAACATGTGTATGTAGATTCTTATCTAATGTCCTGAAAGAAAACGATGTAAAACACTTGGTTTAAGGAGGATTGTTAGATGCCGTGTGGCCCTTCTGAATGCAACTGCTGCTGGGGAAATGAGAAACCAACCTATATTTTTAGATGTGTCTTCCAGGGTAGGGGCCCTCGCCGGGCCTCGGGACCGTCAAAAAACGACTCAGGATAAACAAACAAATCCCCCCGAAGGGGTCGAGACTTTTGGGGACCCCGTCTTGAAAAAATCACGACATCGGATCTCAGGGACTGGTGGCGCGCAACCCAGAACCCCTCGCTCTGTGAAAAAATCGACGGGAGGTTTATCGCTATTGTCGGGCTCCGGGGGCCCTTCCTGGGCCTCGGGACCGTCAAAAAACGTCTCGGGATGAAAAACCAGTCGCAGGGAAGTGGTCCAGAGGTCGGTGTCCCGAAAAGATCGAGACGCCAGATGTCTGGGACCCAGACCCCTTCGGGCTGTGCAAGAAATCACGACGGGGAAGTTTTTCGCCGTCTTCGCGCTCCGGGGGCCCTTCCCGGGCGAGCCTCGGAACTCAGAATGAAAAACTGGTCCCTCCCATGGGGAGGGGTCCGGACTTCTGAGGGGCACGCCATGGAAAAAAACACGGCGTCGGGGGTCTTGGAGACTGCATACTCCGGATTTCGCATTGCAAGGGGGGGATGGTCTGATCCGGGAGGGGGTCCGAAGCGAGGGGGGTCTGGGCAGAAGGCCGCCCTTTCATGGCTCGTCTGGGAGGTTTGTGACCCCCACCACCACTGCCACAGGTAGGAGAGGGAGGAGGAGGAGGAGGAGGAGGAGCAGGAGGAGGAGGAGGAGGAGCAGGAGGAGGAGGAGGAGGAGGAGGAGGAGGACCTCCCAATCCTCCCTCCTCCCCCGTCCTACCTATGGTAGCGGTGGTGGAGACTTGGCCCATCAACAGGAGTTGGCGGCGCGGCGCGCAAACTGCACAATCTCGCACTGGGGGAAGCGGTTTCTGAGGTCCCGATGTCTTTCATCGCTTGCGGGCTCCTGGGGTGACGCACACATAGTATTAGTATGTTGGGGTGACGCCGTCGAGTCGTCTCGAGTCCATGCCAGACTCATCGAGCCCGCGTCGGATCCACACCGGATCCGAGCGTCGAGTCCACAGCCAATCCGCGTCGAGTCCGCAACGGGCACAAAAGGCACAAACTTTTGGGAACAGGCGAGGTCCCCCGAAGATTCGGTGGCAACGCATGAGAGCCTCGCGTACCATCTTGTGGGATCCTCCGAATCGACGCTCCTCGACGCTAATCGACGCTGAATCGACGCTAAATCGACGCTAGTCGACGCTAAGTCGGCGCTATCCTCTCGGCTATCAGATGCCAATCGGTGCTAGTCGACGCTGAAGACGGAATGAAGAGGGCATGCAAGGCCTGCGTCGGGCACGCGTTGGGCACAAGGAAAGACACCATTCTGTGCGCCGCCACAATATCTTCGGGGAAACGTAGGACTCGGGTTCGAGTGACTCGGGTTGGCCCGACGGGGCCATCATGAAGATGAAAAGACCCAGTCTGACAGTTGACGCGAGCTCCCGCTGCACACACCCCACGAAAACTGGACCGTGAAAATCCAGGACGCGCTCGCCAAAAAGCGTCGGCAGACCCGAGTTCCAGCGCACTCGAGTCTTACGTTTTCCCGGACATCTCCACACCGATTGACTCGAGAGGTCGTGACCTCGGGACTCGCGGAGCGGCAGATGTGGGCGTCCGTCCGCCCAGGATGTGGAGACCTGCCCGCCCAAGCAAGGCGGGCAGAGATCCACATCCGCCACTCCTCGAGATCCCAGGCCATGACTCCGCAGCAGTGAACGTGGATAGACGCTGGCGGTGGACAATTCTGGGGAAACCAAGTGTACTCCAGATTTCGTAATAAAAGGGAGGGGGCCTGGACCCTCCAAGACAAGCCAGTGCAGACCTCCCCCGTGGGAGAACCCTCCAAAACATCGTCCCAAGACCCCCCAGGCCCTCCAAGCTAGCTTGGAAAAGACCCCCCCCGAAATGAGACCCCCCTCCCTTTATTATGAAATCTGGAATAGACGCTGGCGGTGGACAATTTTGGGGAAACCAAAGGTACCCATACCGCTACTCCGCGGACCTGTACTGGGCTGCGTCCTGGCCAGAACTTCGAGGCGACTCCAGCGGTGGCGACGAGGGCCGCCCAGGAGGCCCGAAAAGGGGAAAACGAAGGAAGGGTAGAAGTATGAGTGCCTTTCCCAGACCCCCGACGTCGTGCTTTCAGTATGACGTGACCCCCAGGAGAGTCTGGACCCCCTCCCCAGGACCGGATTGTCATCCTGAGTCGTCCTTGCCTTGCACGGCCCCTGGGCCCGGCAAGGGCCCCCAGAGGCCCCAAGTCATGAAAAACCTGGGGACCCACACACACACCACCCAGACCACCGCCTCCGAGAAACGGGGACAAAGCAACAATAGGAAAGCCCCAACCTTTCACCAAGTAAAAACCCCTTAGGCAAGCCTAATTCGGGGAAGCCCAAAAGAACCGATACCGCTACTCTGCGGACCTCTCCCGGGATGCGTTCTGGCCAGAACTTCGAGGCGAATCCAGCGGTGGTGACGAGGGCCGCCCCCAGGAGGCCCAAAAAGGTGGAAAAGAGCGAAGGGTAGAGGTATGGGTACCTCTTCCTCCTCTGCTAACCCAGACCCCCGACGCCGTGATTTTTTCATTACGTCAACCTCTGGAGGTCTCGACCCCTGTCCCTGGACCGGCTCTTCATCCTGAGTCGACTTTTTGATGGCCCCGAGGGCCGGTAACAGGGCCCCCGGAAGCCGAAAATACCCCAAAACCTCCCGTCGTGATTCTTTCACTGCCCGAGGGGGTCTGGGGTCTGGGCTTAAGTCGGGCCGGTAGGAGGGGGATATAGTTTGGGAAGTGTGAATATGGAGATGAGTCTGGGGATGATCTTTGGGATAGTCTGGGGATGATCTTTTGGAGTATCTTTTGACCAGTTTGGTATTTGTTTACTATTGCTCTATTTTTCGTCCACAATCCCCCTGTAGGGGGACAGGCCCGGCATAAGTTTGTGGACGGCATGACAATGGACACTCTAACAATCCGATCATTGAATTAAACATGTGTCTAAAATGTGTTAAACATGTTCTAGACATGTTTCAAACATGCTTTCAATATCTAAAACATATTTGAAACATGTTTTTGACATCTGGAAAATATTTGGCAGCATGCCTCCTCTCCATTGATCGCCCTCCACAACTGCAGTGGGCCAGGCCCGACTTGAGGCTGGGCACGCCAGGCCCCCCGAGGGTGCCGCGCCACGCGGGGCGCCCCTCTCCCCGGGCGCTCCAGCGTGCGCACCTTCCAGATCTCCGGCACGCCCGCCGGCCACGCGCCCCACAGGGGGCGGCCCTCCTGCGGGGGGGCGTCGAGGCATGCATGTGCGGCAGCGGTGAGCTGAGGCCCCTCCATCCCCACCCAAGGCCCCTCCCTCCCCCCCTCACCTCCAAGAGCGCGATTCCTTATGATAGCTTCTGGCAGATTAACTTGCATGGCATTCGCCCCCCCCCCCCCCCCTTCTTCCAACGGATGCTAGCGTGCAGGTGCCTTTCCACTTGCGCGGGTTCCGCACGGGCAAGTCGCTTGCGGCTTGCTTCAGGTTCAACCCCCCAGCCCCTCCCTTTTCATGCAAGTAGACTTGCTGGAACCCCCAAAAACAGGCTGAACGATCCGACGCTCCGAACAAAAACTGGAGCGGGCAGTTTTTGGCTGGTTTCGGCTTCTGGGGGCCCTTGTCGGACCTCGGGGGCGTCAAACAAACGACTCAGGCAGGACGAGAAGCTGGAGGCCTCCTGTATGTGGACCGGGCACATGGGGTCGGAGGATCGCGCCGCATCGCCACTGCATCGCCAATGCTTCGGCGATGCATCGGCGATGCACCCGCGATGTATCGTCGACGTGGGCGGTGCATCGGCGACGTCGGCGTGACGCAAATCGGGCCCCATATCGAGCCGCATCGTGGATGTATCGGCGATGCGGCGCGCGCGATCCTCCGACCCCATCTGGGAGACTGGTCCCAAGGAAGTGGTCGGGACCTGCGGGTCCCACGGAGCGGAAACAAAGAGAGCAGCCGGATGTCTGGGAAGCCCCTCCATCCAAAGCCTCGCCTCCCCCTATCGCAGACCTCTCCAAAAAACCCTGCCCTGGCTGGCGGCCCTCCCTCCCTCCCTGCCTGCCTGCCCTCGAGGAGGCCTCCCCAATGCCTGCCTTCCCTCGAGCCTCCTCGCCAAGGCCTCCGACGTCATGGTCTTTCCAACCGTCCTGCGGTTTTGGGTCCTCGTTGTGAATCAGCAGCGCCCCACGTCACCTCCTCCTCCTCCTCCTCCTCCTCCTCACATCCTCCCCCTCCATTCTCCTCGTCATCATCGTGGCCATCATCCTTGTCATCACCATCCTCATGATCGTTACCACCACAAACATGGCCATCAACATTCCCAACAGCATCAACATCATCTCTACACCCGTCGTCATCAGCGTCAACATAAGTGTCCTATTGATCGATCTTGACATCATCGTCACTTCGCCACCCGTTACATGTCAGTACACCCCTCACACGTTCCGTAGCCCCAGTGGCAGGGTCCGCATGGCGGCCCCGCCCAATTTCGGCACACCCCACGCCGTCGCTGTCGTCGCTGTCGCCGTCGCCGCCGCCGCTGCCGCCGTCGTCGTCGTCGTCGTCGTCGTCGTCGTCGTCGTCGTCGTCGTCGCCGCCGCCGCCGCCGCCGCCGCCGCCGCCGCCGCCGCCGTCGTCGTCGTCGTCGTCGTCGTCGTCGTCGTCGTCGTCGTCGTCGTCGTCGTCGTCGTCGTGGTCGTCGTGGTCGTCGTGGTCGTCGTCGTCGTCGTCGTCGTCGTCGTCGTCGTGGTCGTGGTCGTCGTGGTCGTCGTGGTCGTCGTCGTCGTGGTCGCCTGTCGTCGGTACGAAAAGCTGGGGGGGGGGGCGCGCGAAGGCAGTGGCCCCCTCTTGGAGCCACGGCGCGTGGGGAAATCAACAGGTACCGATGCCGCTCCCCAGGCCTCTCCCGGGGTGCGCTCTGACCAGGGGTTCGAGGCGACTCCAGCGGTGGTGACGAGGGCCGCCCAGGAGACCCCAAAAAGAGGAAAACGAGGGAAGGGTAGAGGTATGGGTTACCTTGTCCTCCCCTGAATGTTTTTTTTTTCCACGCAACAATGGTAATGAAGGATTAACAACCGATGATATCCACCAATGATCACGGTCGCCAGTCGCAGAAAGTATGTCCTGCGAACGTGGCCGAAACTCGGGGCGGAAATTGGGGCGGTTGCACGCCAGAACGGACCTTGTCCTCCCCTGA